GACTTAGGGGGAAAATTTTAGGACCATTTTGTAGGGGACGACGAGATCTACAATTTCCATGTAAAAGTATTTCGCTAGCGTTAATAGTTAACGAGTAATTTACAAAAAACTGTTTTTTCGTTTTTCGTCAATAACTCGTTAAATATTAGTGCTAGCGAAATATTTTTACATGGAAATTGTAGATCTCGTCGTCCCCTACAAAATGGTCCTAAAATTTTCCCCCTAAGTCCATCCGTTTGGGAGTTATGGGCAAAAAACGAAATTTTTTTCCAAAAGTTCGCTGTTTCGACGCTGGGATGGTCGGATTTTGTCAACATCAATAAATAGCCAACTAATCATATGTAACTCGTTAAAAACTTGAGTTAGAAGAAAAATGTTTAGGAAATGCGTTTTTCTAAAGTACATAAACTTTTGGGATTAACTGTACAGCCAATACATCCTTAATACGTGCGGCTACGAACATTTTCTGATACATTCATTTGTTTGAATTATCTGGACACGCAATTCGTCATTGTTCGAGTAATGTCTACTGACACAGCGACGCGAATGCATTAGGTATATCTGCATACAAAGGTTATACTTTCGGTAGAAAGGAGGAGACTGATTCGATCACATTTATACGTTCGTCCATTTTTCAATTTAATATAGCGGCAGTTTTCCTTTCCGGTGCCGATCTGATATTGGATTTTTTAATTTTCGCGAGTGTAATATTACTTCTATCAATTCGCTGCCACGGTATCGACTTTTACCCAATAGCGACCAACTCCAATTTAACGAGAGTTCAACAAATTAGATACTCCAATACGGTATTTAGGTATTCGATAAATTAATAACCTGATTTGGAAACTTCGTGCATCACGCGAAACAAATAATTGAAACAAAGTTCCTAATAACTAGAACCTACGATTAACGAGATATAATATTTCTTTTTCTATGTTTCAAAGGGATACAACATTAATATGTTTCACGATGGGCTTTCCCTTCCCGTGGGAAACTGGCGGTATAATTCCAGCGCAAACAGCTAGTAGAGAAATAAGAGGCGCCAGTGGCTAAGCAGAAATTACGTATGCCGAGTAACGATAGGTTTTCGCGTATCTTTCAAGATTTGTTCTCGTGCCAACGCGTCGACAATAAGTATCGTATCTCGGCGATTTAATTATTCGCGGTGTCCTCTTGGTCCGCCGACAGAATGCTAATCACATGCTAATCGACCATTACCCTGTTACAACAATAGAGTTCAACCACGTTGAGAAGATTCCAACAAGTTGCAAAATCATCTGTTTATCTCATAAATCATTTGAGCGATCAATTTCTATGACGATTTATGAATTCAATTTACTACAGCACTCCCCACTTCTGCCGAATGTTAAATACGTACTTCGTGGGGTCTGTATCTGTTTTCATACCAGGTTTTAGTAGCACGTAACACAATTTTATACGAAATGACACTTATGCAAGAACACAGCCATCATGTTATCCGAGGATTATGGTACTCAGCGTACGTGCGTTTAAATAATTTTACAACGTTGTACTGCAAAGCTTCGCGAATTATAGACACGTTTCGCGGACACGGGTTTCATCACGGGTATCGATAAAACGCGTAGCTCTTCTCCTACTTGCAAGATGACAGAAGGGGGTGATTCCGACGTTTTATTCCCGGCTCGCGTACCGGCCGCGTTGTAACGCGTTTTATTGCGTCCCGTTGCGCGTTTTTATTGCACCACTTCGGCCGCCGTCACTAGTGCCAAGGAAATGCAAAACTATTAAACCGGCGTGCTCGCCACCACGCGAGGCAAATATGCGTCCGCTGTTTAACGACCGACCCGTTCAATTTTCTCGTCCCGTCTTTCTTTTTCTCCTCCCGCACGTATCCACGCGACGTTCGACCGAAAGCAATTCCATTTAAATTATACCGTTTCTTGCCCGCGCCGAACTGTTCTCATCAAAGCGAACCGACTTCCTATTCATCGTATTCGACTAGGTGCATCTTGCAAAAACAATTGGTCGCGCAATACGAAATCGTGGCTCGATTATCACGTATCACCAATATCGTACGTCTCTCCTCTTCCAATTGACTAATGCACCTTTGTGTGTGTGTGCTAGCTCGACAAAGAGCACGGTTCGCGGGTAATTTTCAGGTTAAGCGAGTCGGAAGAGCTCCATTTTTCTGAATGCCTCGCAATCCACGACTACTACCACTATCTACGCCCGTGCGGTTATTGGTTAGAGACCCGTTGTCAATATGTTCGCCTACCTTTTAATTTATCTCGCGGATGGCAACGCGAACGCCGCAGCTCGATAAAATGTCCATTTTAGGGATTACGGTTGAGAGAGAGATAAAATTGGTTGAAAGACGGGAAATTAATCCGAGATAATCGATTCTTCCGGTTGATAGATAATAATTTTTTCTTTTCGCCATCTCGTTGCACTCTAAACGCTTATTGAATTCTTTCTCCTTTGGATATCATCTGTACTTCATCGCCTCGGATCTTTCACGTTTTAATCGCGACTAATTCGAGTACTATTTGAATTATATGAATTGCAATCCAAACCATTTTTTTATCATTTGTCAAGTTTTTCAGACATATTTCCGGTTACATAAATTTCATAGAGACGATTTCAAGAAATGTAAGATACTTTCAAATACAAATCAATGCAAATTACTCACAGTTTTGTTCCCAGGAGAAGGCTGGACAGGTCCCTCGGTATCTGCGTCAGTCCCCGATTCGAGCAGTCGATTTCCGATACGTTACACTTGCACAACAACGAGCATCCAACACTGTTCATGTCCTCCATCACACCGGACGAACTTCCGAAGCCGAAGCTACCGAGCGGGGTACCATGCGAGGCGCCACCGCGTAGCACGGACAATATCAGCAGCAGTCCCCAGGCGCAGACCACGGAACCGCAGCTGACGCCTAGCAAACGCAGGGACCAGACTGGCGTCATGGCACGTGCCATCGCCAGGATCTTCCGATTAATGTCCTTCACAGCACGATTCGGTCCCTCGAGGATTTTGGCGATGCTCCCGGCGCGGCTCTTCGGCTGAATATTGTTCGGGTCGTACAGGCTGAAGCAGGCCGCCTCGTTCCCAGCCAGCCGGGCTACGTTTATGCCCGGGTACACGTAATTGGGCGGCGGCTCGAGGAACGAAGAGAGCTCCAGTCCTTCCGCTGGCGGGCAACCGAGTATCCTCACCGGTTCGAGGATCGCCTCTTGTTCCAATCGTATCACGGAGCACTCGAACTCGTTCGACGTCAAATCCCGCGGATTACTTTGACCCTGATGTCGTTCCGTCGCTTTCCCCCGCGATCGGTCTCTCCTTCGACCATGAACCCGACACGATCGATTCGAGTTCCTCGGCGTGGTATCCGCGTGGTGTCTATCGGAAACCCTACACCCGCCCGGCGCTCGCTGCCTGTGGTGGCCCGGACACGGTCCCCGTCGCTCGATCGTCGTCTCACCGATGACCGTATTATCGATCGACGACACGTTCCTCGCCCGTTTCGAACGGACCTCCGAACCGCTATTGGGCACCAACTGCAGGTCCAACGCTGACTCTTGTTGACGCCACTGATGGACCAACACCGGCGCCTCCGTCAATTCTACGTCGCCGTGCTCCTCGAGCCTCAACGCTTCGCAGGCTTTCGATTGCCCAGTGAAGACAATGTTCGATTCCACCGTGAGACCGTCTCGTTGGCCAGCATCCGCGAAACCTGGACCGGACGTGGTACCCAGACGCTCCTCCAAGATCGTTGACGATTCTTCGATCTTTTCCAAAGCTTCCAACTGCAAACCACCACCTGACGATGGCTGCTCTTGAGCTAGACCATCCAGCAGGCCCTTCCGGGGGCCGTCTTCGTGGCCCCCTTCTCCTTCCACGAACCCCTCCGGCGAGCTGTTTAACACCACTAACGGCACCGCCCGTTCCCTCGCATCCTGAGACACCGACCTCACTGACTTTATCTTGACGCTGGTCTTTGGCCTAGTTTCTACCGTACCCAAGTGGGTACGTGGGTCCTAGCCGCGGTGAGCTCGGCCAAAGTCATTTACCGGTTTCCGATTCGACGCGTTCCACCGCTGTGTCCGTCTCACGGTTAGACTTTCAACCGCCGATCATTAATCTAACTCTTGCGTGTCTGACCTCTGCCGCATAGAATCGCGTACGTACGTGTCTCTCTCGTGTATCCCCGCTGGAACGCGTGTCGCGTTACGCTCGCGTGCTCGGCGAAGCTCTTGTCGTTCCTCTTCTTTCTTCCCTTCGCGAGCTTCCGTTCGCACTAGCTCTGTCTACCGATAATCCTTGGCTACTGGCTACGCGGGCATTATTGTACTGAGCGATCGGTCGGTCGATTTGCCGGTCGGTTCGTCCACACGCTGCTCCACGCCACAGTGATGCATCACCTGAAAGAATTTCAAAAATTCCAGAGGTCATTATTTATAACAAATCGTGCGTGCCAACAGCTTTTACAATTCTATAAATTACGTTCTGATCCAAAGCGAAGATCAGTGGCTTTCAGGAATTGTTAATAGAATAACTTTCGTTTAGTGTACGGATCTCCCAGCGGATATTTCGAGGTGGAAGTTGCATAGAGAGAGGCAGGTAGACAAGCCCCGGCCGCGATGGAGCCGCAATTCAGTCGTTCGGATAGCTGTTTTCCGCGCTCGGATGATATATATTCCCCCCATCGACGGAAGTTGCATGCGTTCTCGATAGCGGAGGGTGGGTGGATCGCCGTTTCCCGTGGCTGGGGTTCACCGCGGCATACAATTTTTTTTTTCTTTCATTCCACCCGCGGCCGCGTGCACGCGTCACCGAAAAATGCATCTTCCATCCGTAGGCAGACGCTTGCCGAGCAGCGGCGGCGAAGAAGAAGAAGAAGAAGAGGCGAAAGCGGCACAGCCAGGGAACCGAATGGCGCAGCCAGTTACAAAGGGAGGTACCGGAGAACCCGTAGCAATATCGGAAGTACGAGAAAAATATGCTTCCGAAGCACAATCAAGAACTCGAACGCATTCCGTGCACAGTCGTTCCGAGTTGCGAGGCATATTGGAATTTCTCCCCGGCATTTCTGTTTCTTTCATTCTCCCTTTACAACCCTTTTCCTTCCCCCTCCTTCGCCCTTTTCTACCACGTCGCATCGGGCGCCCGCCTCGTCGAGGGAACGTGCCGCGAACGAACGCACGTGATATCTCATATACATGTTGCTCGCGCCCCTAAGTGCCCCCGGATACGTTTCCACGATTTATCACTACCTGGGAACACCTGGAAATAGAATGTCTGCTGGCGGGCAGCGCTTGAGATAATACGTGATCAGAGTGCCACCTTTAACTGGAAACGGAATTGGCTGCTAACTTGAAGAAAAAATTGCTTGCCACGCAGAGCGATCATTATTATCACGCGACATAATAAATGAAACGAGAAATAAAATTAATTCATATTAATAAAAAGTTCCACGGTTTTAATGGAGTGTTCCTATTTTTCAACGACACTAAAATGGGACTTAAAAACATTGCGTTGCGAAAATGATTCCGATAACAATTCTGCTTTCCGCTGCGATAGTCTGGTAAATACAAACAGCTGTACGCTTGGCCAGGAAGCAACAGCTGTAGCAATGAATTATTTCACGTGTACACGTTGACTCCGTAATTTCAATATTTGTCAAAGACACTTGTTAGCAGAGGATAAAGAACTGTGAAGGGTGCTCGTTATTCCAACGGGCGCGGTGGTGGTGGGACTCGATAATACTTGTCGAACAGCTGTTGAAGGATGAAAGAAGCAGCGGAAGAAGAAGGCTGACGTCTAATTTAGAATTCGTCGTGACTTAAACTACGCCTGGGTGGAGTAATGACTCAGGCTTTTTGACCGTCGAGCTTATTAACCCGGCCCGGAGAAACCTTAACAAGTCGTCAATTGAACAACTTCCACCAAATAAACACGCCCAAGCAGATTTATCCAAACAAAACTCAGAATCGATAATTAATCCGTAATCATTCCATAAATATTGTCGTGCATACATCAAATGCTATTTATACGACCTGAAAATAATAAGAATTCTTTTTTCACGCTAAATGGCATACGCCAATTTTATCATTCTCCCAATCTCAAGATACATATCTACGTGCGGACGAAAATTACCACTACTGTCATTAGCATGGTAGGAAATGGCGTAACTAATTTGAATAATTATATGTAGATACACATTGAATCAATCTTAAGCGTGAAATATCTACCACCGAGAGCGAGACGCGGCGAGACTATCGGGAGAAGCGTATCTCAACTTAACCGAGAAGCTCGACAAAGCCTGGAGGAATGCGAAAGAAGCCCGCGGCGACACGACGTGGGATGGCTCGCGTCGCGCATTGAAATTCGCGGAAAATCTAATATTCCCGCCGTAGAGCCGGGGGACAGGGATCGATAATTCGATTAGCAGTAGTCGACACTGAGGATAGTTAGATAGGACGCGTCTCCTCTGTAGCGCGAAGCTTCGAGTACGGTTAAAGTAGCCGTCCACCCCCGTTTCGATATGTAGGGGCGGGTCAGAGAGGGTGCGTACGCCGCGCACGTGTAATATTCTCGAGCACTCTCCTCCAGATAATATCGGTAGTCCTGGCAGTCTCTGATGTCGAAGTTAAGACGTCGAGGGTGGTTTCAATGCCACACATCTACTAGAAGCATGAAAGAGAAAGAGACAGAGACAGAGAGAGAGAGAGAGAGAGAGAGAGAGAGAGAGAGAGAGAGAGAGAGATTTTGGTCCAGACGAATTCTATCACTTCCACTAGCGTTCGTTTCATGCTCGGCATTAATTAATAACGTTAGCGTACATTAATTGAGGCAAAGTAGCGTTGATGTTCGAAACTTTTTCTTTTCGCGCCACCTCGGGTCGAACCCCTTTCGACGGCAGGCCACGCACAAAGCGTGAACAAGACGTCGAGGGAGGAAAATCGATTCGCCATTCGAATTGCTTCGCAGGTAGCTACCCCGTGCCACGCACAGGGGGTGCGTGCGGTTGGTGTAATTAGGCAAATTATATATGTACGTTACAACGTATTGCGTTGGCGATAGTACGGAACACTCGAATTGGTGCGCATTTACGACGAAGGGGAACGGCGAAAACATAGGATTCCCTGTCGCCGGTTCGCGTGTCGCCGACAAGAATAATTGGTAGGACAAATATTTGACTTCTCTCTGCGCTCGATTGATTGACACTTCAACGCCGTTTCACATCGATAAACACGTGATTCCGTGCGGACGATTTTCAGCTCGCCGTGTCCCTTTCTTCCCAGTCTGCGCGTTCTAATACTCTTTCTTTATTTTTCGAATGCCACTGTTTGGACGGTGCGTTAATGCTTTTAAAATTCCTGACCAAACAATGGCTCGCCGATGCACCCTGTCCCCCGCGAGAAAGGGCAGAAGGGATAATATTGACAGAGATACGCCCCGGTCCCCTGCGACGCGGCGAACCCCCGCGGTGATGTGCACCTTCCGGGCAGCGCGGAGCGAAAAATGTACGAGACACATATGCTGCTCGTTGCTTTTAATGAAATTGACGGCGCAAACACAGCAACGATACTGCAGTGCAGCGCGATGGAAGTTTCTTAAACGGGGAACAAACGAGGAGGCACGTTTCAATGAACTCGTTCGTGAAACGGGGAGTTGGAAAACGGCGAAACTAATATCGAGAGACTCCTCTCTCGCTCTCTCTGTTTCTCTCTCGTTCTATAGACCCCATTTCCCCGGAACGGGCCGACGTATCGACTGAATCATATTTTCTCCGGCCGCCGCGCCGCGCCGTCGAGCGCATTCGTCCTGTAGAATATCGGGTCTATGGAACCCGTGTACACCGAGGCATATACGTATAGGTACAAGGGGAGGGCGGAATCCCTTTGAGCCAGCGGGAAGGTAAAATCAGACGGTTCAGGGATAGCCAATACGCCCAGCCAGGGAATATTGCGTCCTTATTGTAATATATTTGTAAGCCACTTCGCGAGACAATTTCATCCGTGCGGCGGGCACGAACGTATTGTACACCGTATACAGACAGGTGGATATGTACCGCCGAGATATTCCTCGGAGGTATATCGCTATTAGGCTGCGGCTTTATACGAGCACGATATGTACTCCGTCTCGTAAATATGAAAAGTATTCGCGTGTTTCACAATAAATGTTTCTTTCATTCCTCTAAAATAGCATCGCCTCGCTGCTTCCACGGCGTTGTTTAAACGTTCAATCTTTTCGCGTTCCTTCGCTCACGTCGTTAACCTCGATTCCAGTTTTAATGAAATATACTTAGGTAGCCGACGTTTCATTTTTGTACGTTCGTTAGATTTAATTTACTTTACGTTCATATGTAAGGAGAATAATTTGTAAAACGAGACGGTCTAATGCGGTGAGAAAGTTTTTCTAGAAACCCGACTATCGCGGTGTACGTGCTTCTACAATCGTCTTCTACAAAAGTAAGCATTATGCAGTCTAATCATTATATTGTGCCAAAGGGGGAGACCGCGATTATTTGTCGAAAGCTCGACAAAGCGAAGGGAAAGGAAAGCCGCGGGAAAAAGTTTCCAGTGGAACGGGAAGTTCCTCTGTTCCACATTTCGTTTCCTCTTTTTCCCGACGTTCCTCCAGGCTTCCACTTGATAACAGAACCAATAAACGTTTCGTTTCGCGCGCACTTGTCGCTCTTTGCGAACGTTTCACGATACCAATTCCAGGCTTCGATTGCGAAACGAAAGGTTCACGATTTCGTAAACGCGGTCCATCGCGGCGGCTAATTGCTAATGCGATTGTGAATTACCACTTCCGAGATAGTGGATTTTGAAACTCATTCCGAGTAGAGTCTGATTAATCGACCGTACGAATTAACGCGACAGAATAATTAATGTTTTCTTATCTGTGTTAATACGTAAGTAAATACGTTAACAAACGTGATTAAAAGCTGGATCTACTGATAAGACATGAGAGAAGATTGAGTAATAAGAATTATAAATTCCCGAAATTCATTTCACTTCTCAGTTCT